TAAGTGACTTGACCATCACTAGGAGCAGATACAGGACTCAAATCTATCTTGTGATTCCAAAGGCATCTATCTGTTCTACCATATCACACTCCATTTATAATAACTTCTAAAAATCCCAAAATGTGGCTCAAGTTCCTTCCAGCCTCAGATTAATGTCAAATTCACCAATCCTTTAAAGTGAAGAAGTCTCTGCTGTACCTTCAATCCTCTTCCTATCATTAACAGATCTCACCATCCCTCTCCAGTAATAAGGAACCTAAATACTTTTGAAGCTGCAACTAATATTGCTCACAGACATCTAGCAAGCACATGCAGCTCTGAGCACAAGGAAATCCTGAGCACCTGCAGTACAATGCATGATATTATTACCTGGGGAAAGTAAGTGTTTCAGGTTCCTCCCAAATGTGAAGAATCAAAACAGGAAAGTCCTCATATCTACACTAAGCAAGCAAGAATAAAACTCTCCCCACTGTATCCACAAATATTAGTTTCTTTTCGTTGCTGTAACAAATTACCGTAAACTTGGAGTCTTACAACAACAGAAATTTATTATCTTATAGTTCCGGAGGTCCGAACTCCAAAATGGATCTCAATGGGCTACAAGCAAAGGATAGGCAGGGGCTGTGTTCCTTCTGAAGGCTCTCAAGAGAAGCCATTTCCTTGCCTGTTCCAGCTTCTAGAAGCTAGCTGCATTCCTTGGCTCAGGGCCTCCCTTCCAGCAACAGCATCACTCCAACCTCTGCTTCCATTGTTATATCTTCTCTCTGACTCTCCAGCCTCCCTCTTCCACATATTAAGACGCTTCCAGTAACACTGGACCCACCTGGATAATCCAGGATACTCGCCCATCTCAAAATCCTTAACTCAATCACATCTGCAAAGTCCTTTTTGCCATGAAACCTGCCAGGGATTAGGTGGCGGAGCATCAGGAGAGTCAGTGTCCATTCAAAGCAAAAATACTCCCAGCTGAGTTGCCAGCCATGGTCCACATGAGGAGGAGGATAAGGCATTCCTGCTGGGGTAGCAACCAAACTGGTTACGGGCAGGCCTAGCACACACTGGTGGGAACAAACTTCTCTGGAAGTGCTGCATTAATGGTCAGTACTTTAAGAGAATTTTAAACATTTATAGGTAACAAGTGGCAGGATCATTAGACAAATCCAGGTCTCTCTGACTCCCAAGTGTATTCTTGTAATCTCTATGACAGACTACCTCACACCCACCTCAAATCAAGGCTGAGAATTTTCTTCTGTAAGTCGAACCAAGGGCCTGATAGAGGAGACTTCTACCCCCCCAACCCCACCCCAACCAGTCTGGATCAAGAATGAACCTGGATGGCACAAGTCAGAACAAAACAGGAAACAGGCTCCATGCCCAGGCTAAGTGTTTCCCTTCTGTCTTTAGGAAAAGGAGCTACAACATGCAAAGTCCACGGTGCACCTCTAAGAAACTTTTATAAAAGTAAGCCTGAGTTAATGCGTGCAGCTTTCATTCCATGGCGTTAATTCAGTCACAGTAAACACATTTTCATGAACTCTTTTTATTTCTTACAGGTTGTTTGTTTGTTTTTTGGGGGTTTTGTTTGTTTGTTTTTTTACAGACCCTACCTGAGGACTGAAGGTAAGAAATTATAGTGCCCAGAGTATTCCAAATCAAGTCAGCTTTACTCTTTAAAGAGAAGTATGCTTTAACAAGGTTTATTTCTGTCTAGCTGTTACTTTTTACACACGGGTAACACTGGAATCAATGCATTTGTTACATGAATTTCCCAGGACTTAGTTTCATGGAATGAATAGTTAGTAACATTTATGTTTTTTTCATATTTTTAAATTTCATGGAATTGTTCCAGGCAGTAAATTCCTTTTCTCCAGAATTCCTCAGACTGTGAAAAACAGAGAAAGCTCTTGCACATTGCCTGTGTATATCAGACAGTTATTAAATAAGTGCTGAATGACCACATAAACACACAAGTATGTGAAGGCCTAAATAAAGCTCTCTTACCACAAGGTCAATCTGGGAAGTTTGCTTATGGAAAATAGCATTTAACTTCTCTCTCAACAAACATTAAGTATGTAAACTGCATAGAAAGAAAGAATTTGTAGTACCCTAACTCTACAAAACATTTTCATCTTATATGCATGCAGTTAGAATATTATAGTGGTTGAAAGACCTTGGAGATTCACAGACTTGGGTTTGAATATTTGATGGTTACATGACCTTTGAAAAGGTGCTTAACCTTCTTAGCTTGAGTTTCTTCATGTTTAATGGTAAGATAATAATTCTTACCTTGGAGAGTTGTTCTGAGCATGTAATAACAACATACAGAAAATGTTTACAGTTCCTGGGGGCACTGATGATGATGATGATGATGATGGTGACAATAATGAATCTAGATCCAGTCCTCTTGATTCTCCTGGTCTTCCAGGGCAGACAAGTTCCCTACCATGTCAGGTACACTTGTCCTGGAAACATGTTCATCAGGCATGTTGCTCTCCAGTTCTCTAGGATAGCTGCCTATCTTCTCATACAACACACACTCATCTCCAAGGTAGGCACAAAGTCCTCCCTGCCCTTCTTCACTGTCAGCCACTGCTGGTCCCTTTCACATGCTTATACCTTGCTTGTTGACCACAGCTGCTGACTAGCAGTACTGGAGGCTGCCCAGCCTATTTCCTTCCCAACCCCAGCCACAGTTCCAGAATGGCCCTAAGGCATGATCCACTGGGCTTTTTATTGACATGAGCCATCTCTTCTTTTCTAGTCATCTTTCTTCCCTTTTATCTGTAGATCTTCCACTTTCTCTCTCTTTTTACATGCCCCCAGAGTTGACCTAAGTGGTCCCTCTTAGAGCCTCAAAGTCCTCTCTATGTGGATCTTAACGTAGGTCTTAATTATATTAGGCATCATTTTGCAGGCATTCCCCATTAAAAATAAATCCTTGGGTACAGAAAGAGTAAAGCAACATACAAAAATCAAATCTAATAAACACTAATTCAGGCAACATTAATGAAAACCATTACTTGGTTTTTAGGACAAAGATTTTTCACAATATCCTATGCTATTCTAACATAGGATTATTCTTTAAATTCTTATTTGCCTTGAGTAACTATGGGATACACAGGGCTCCTATGAATTTGGTGAAATGGTTACCTAGAGGAAGTGCAAAATTTCATGACCTTATTCTCACAGTGCCCTACAATTAAAAATGATAAGGCAATCAGACAATACGTTTGAACATGCAAAGACTAAGCGATGTTTATAAATCATCTCTATTTTTATGTGGGTTCACTAGAAGGAAATAGCACAAATTCAGAAGGCAAAGAATACCTTTTTCACGTGATTTACACACCTGATGGTCTTACCACATCAAAACATGACTTCAGAGTTTTCTCTTTCTAGGTGTATAATTTTATTTTCTCCTAAAACCTGTATTATAAATACTCACAAATGCCAAACCTTAGGAGTATGGAAGAGAAAAAGATTTGGTCTTAATATAACCCCAAGAAACTTTCAATAAACCATCAATACTGACTGTTAATTCTTTTGCAACAGTATGGGCCATTGTTTGGAATTCTCTAGCTTTTCACATTTTCTTTGCAAAGTAAAAAAGGGAGAGAGAGAGAGACAGATAAGGTCTATATAATTTTAGACAATCAATCTTTCCAGGCAAAGTCTGACATACTAGATAAGATCAGTTTTTCTCTGCTAGAAAAAAATGTTATTTCAAAAATAGGAATGTAATACAAGATACCTTCTATAGTCATCAATTTGATCTTTCAGTATAGATTTACAGTTCTGCTATATTGACTTGTGGCCTTTATGGGATAGAATTTAGTGAACTTCTGAATATGTCAGTTCCCTTTCTTTGAAGAGTGCATTAATGACAACTTGCCATTAGAAAACTATTCCTATCTATGAAAAGCTATCCAACACATCCAATTTTTTTACTCCCACCTTGTGAAATCCTCCTGTGAAACAGAAAAGGTTATAGAACTAGCTCAAGAAAAATCACAAGTTATCACCACCAACAGCCTTCCATTCACCTGCCTCTTCTGGTCTGAGGACATTGCTGAGGCCTGGGCACAGAACCACCAGCCAGAAAATCATGTTCCTTACTGAATGTACCGCAGATAACCCAGTGGAGGCTGGGAGAACCAATGAAGGAAGATAAGAAAACCTTTTTATTTCAACAGCAGTCGAATAGGATGAAAAATAAAAGGCAAGTCAAATAGGGTATTTTTGAGGTAAGTATATGAGCATTTTGCATAATAAGGCTGTGTCTATCTGAGGGTAAGATCTTAGACTGAACCAAAAGTCACATTAATGAATACCCTTTCGTCCTTCAAAATCATCACCTCCAAAAAGTCTTTCCACTGTGGTGAATTTCTTATTAACTTTCTACCATCCAACCAAACGGGAAAATCTTCTGAGTTAACCCTTGTGAACAACTGACATCAGAACTAAAAGCTGGGTTGCCTTTATAACTCTTACTCCATCGAGCGCATGAATGAAAACCCCTACTTCTTTTATTCTGTAACAGCCTATCCCATTTTCAAAACTTAGATAAGCACTTTTTTTCCACACTGTATGTATTTCTTCTCTTTAATCACTTCCTTTCTTAAAAGGCAATGTCTGTCACTTCAAGAGACTAGCCACTTGACTCCTAACATATATTAAATGACCTATTCAGCCTTCCTAACAGCAAAAATGGAAAATCCTTCACTGTAACCCAGTTGCAAAATTGGCAGCGCCATAAGCCATCTGCAAAGAAGACTACACACATAGCAGCTGTGAGTCCAGGAACTCTGCAGATTTCAAGGAGAAGAGAAAAAGATGTAAAGAAGTTACCAGGAGAAACATGGTTGAAGCTTTTAAAATCATTTTCAGTTATGATAAACCTAACCACCTAAAAACACAACCATAAAGACCAGAGATAGAGTGAAATTTTTAACTAAAAATTTATAACTAAGAAAAACTTAGTATGAAGTCATCGTACTCACCGTCTGATGGCTTCTGTCACAGTAGCGCAGCCCAAAATAGTCTATCTCCACAAGGTTTATGTGACGGAATACATGGTCAAGGACAACAGAACCTTTCGTTGACTTCTGCAAAAATAATTCACAGTTTTATTCTTTGTAACGAGGTGTCTTCTGTTTCTCAGTGGGACACAGTCACGGTTCTCATCTTTTATTAGCTACACTAACAAGAGGGGCAATTTTATTAGACCATGCTTCTCTCTTTAAGTTTTGCCTCAATTATGAAGAAAAATGTGATTTAAAGCAAAGTGTATTAAAGAAATTGCTTTGGAAAATAATTTTTAAATTTGGTGGTTTTTAAATTAATATAAGCCTCTTTTCTTATAGGATTATAAATTATCTTCAGGATGAAATGCTTTTAATAAAGATAATCCTTTATATGAAAAGTATCTAATAAATTCATCAAAAAACACTCTGGTTGAAAATCCCACACTGTTATCATTTTAAAAAGCAATTTTCACCTACAGCATTATTCTCAGAACTAATACAGAAGATATATAAAATTAAAATAACAATAGCCAAAGCTTTTATTTTCAATCCTCAGATAATCAACCCATAAATTAAAGCTGCTAAAGTTAATGTTCTGAAAATCCCTTGTGAAGCTATTTTATTTTATCTCTTTCACATAAGCACAGACAGAAAGAATACATACCTTTTGGCTGCTTTTTAAATGCTGACACCTATCTAAAAGACTAATCTGTCTTCTCTCCTCTACTACTACATACATAGATTATTTAAATTAAGATTCCTATCATCTAACACATTAAGTATCAATTACTGACACACATAAGAAACAATCTGCAAGCACTACTTCCCATGATCACATTAATCTTGAAAATAATCGGTTTCGATGGCACAGGTGCAGATACAGACTATTCCTGTCTTTTGCCCCATCACTGACAGGTATAACAGGGTAGTAAAAGAAATCCCCAATAAGTCACACACCGTGGTAAGAAAAGTAGGGTTTTTGTTCAGTTGTGTCCTTCCTCAGAAAATTACTATTAGGAGCTTATTCATGTAGAGTGAGTGCTGAGTACTGCCCTGCTTTTAGAAAACGGATTGTTAACATAAGGGAAATGTTTTGATTAGATCTGTTATAAAATGGATGATAAAAGTACACACTGGGAGAAGATAGTTGTTGTTACAAATCCCATAGGTATTTTGTTTTCCTCTGAATTACCTTGGTTAAATTTAATTAGTCCCTTTTTCAAAATCCATTAAATAAGTTATTTATAAACAAAAGCCCTTCGATGATGGATCTTCAGGTTGTTCAATATTTTCTGCTATAATAACAATGCCAGATCTAGAAAAAGTCTCTTTGTGCTCATGTACCTATGTGTTTCTCTGGAGTAAAAATCTGGAAGTGAAATTACTAATTTGAAAGATATGTATACTTAAAATTACAATAGGCAGTGCGAAAAAGACCATTACAATTCATTTAATGAGTGTATGTGTTTCCCCAAACCCTTGCCAACATTTGGATTGAGCAAATTTTTTCTAATCTGACTGAGGAAAAAAGAGGCAGGGGGGTAGGAGGCAGTCAGAGATAAAGGAATTGTTTTAATTTGCATTTTCCCAACACTAATAAAAGTAAGCACCTTTCATGTGCTTACTGGCCAATTGCATTTCCTAGCATCTGGATTAGGCATTCTCCAACCCTAAGTTTATGAGTAAATTCTCCTAAGTACTTCCAATACTTGCACAATTTTACTTAGTATATTTAGTTCTTCATTCCATCTGGAAATTATTTTTGTGCTTGGAATAAAGGCCTAACTTTGTTTCTAAATGGATAGACAACTGAACCACAGTTTATATCAAAAAGGCCACCATTTCCCTTATGATTTGGAACAACTTTATTATCTACTAAATGAATCCCCATTCTACCCCTGGATTATTCCAGGACCAATACCCCCAAGATTTTAATGCATTTAGTTTAATATAATTTGTTTGATATCCATCTTCCTTTTATAAAGTTGTCTTTGCCAATTCTTACATATTTTTCTCTACTAGAGGAAGCTTAGAACCAGCTTGCCAATTTAATAAACAATTCTGTTGAGAATTTAACTGGAACTAAATTGAACTGGTAGACTGGATGCCTTGGGAGGAATGGATGATATAATATTTACAAAGTGAAACTTACATAGTTTTCTTTTATATCCTTCAAGGAAATTTTATACTTTTTTTTCATGTAGGTCTTGCAAAATTCTACTTAGGCTTTGCAGCAGGCAGAATTTACAAATGCCCCCCTAAAGATGTCCTGCCCTGATGCCTGGAACCTGTGAGTATGATGAGATATCACTCCTGTGACTGTGTTACATTATACGGTACAACTGGCTTTTTAAGATAGCAAGATTACTGGAGTGGGCCTAATCACATGGGCCCTAAAAAGCAAAGCACCTTCTCCAGCAGAAGGAGAAGGCAGAAGGAAAGTCAAAGGTACTTGAAGCATGAGAGGACTCCACATGTCCTTGCCACTTGAAACATGGAGGGAGTCATCTGAGAAGCAAGGAAAACAGTCCCAAGGAGCTGAGGGTAGCCCCCAGCTGACAGCCAGCACAAAAATGGGAACGTCAGTCCTACAATCACAAAGACAGGATTTGCCAACAACCTGAAAGAGTCCAGAAGCAGATTCTTCCCCAGAGTCTTCAGATAAGAACCCAGCCAACTAACACCTTGATTTCAGACTTGTGGGACCCTGAGCAGAGAACCCAGGCGTGGCATCCCAGACTTCTGACCTACAGAACTGTGAGATGGTGAGTGGGGGCACATTTAAGCCACTGTATTTGTGTGATCCGTGCAGCAAGAAAGAATAAGCCTGTATTAATAAAATAAAAATATATTGTTGTTATACTTTCTGACTGGCGACTGCTAATGTGTTAGAAAGCAACTAATTTTTCTGTATTGGTCTCATGCCATTCTGCTAAATTTTTTTTTTTTTTTAATTATTTTACTTTCTAAGATGTTGGGGAGCAGTTCTGGGGGGAGGTGGAATGATGGAGGGGGATCACGGTCAAGGCCCATGGTATCCCCCTCATTCAGGTAGGGGAGCCCAGGGGGCTTCCGGAGGCGGCTCAGTTGTGGCTAGGGTGTGTGTGGATGTCACGGGGTTGTGGCTGAGGCCCTTAGTGCCCCCACACCTCAGCTTGAGAGCCCGGGGTGCTTCCAGCGGTGGCTTGGTGGTCATTGCTAAGCTGGATGCAGATGTTGGGGGGATGCGGCTGAGGCCCTTGGCCCACCACTGCCCCAGCTCAGGAGCCTGGGGCACTTCCGGTGGTACCTCAGTAGTCGTCACTGGGCTGGATGCAGACATCAGGGGGACATGGCTCCAGCCCTCAGCGCCCCCAAGCCCAGGGGGCTTCCAGTCCTTCTAGGTGTTCTTTGGTGGTATCAGACCTTTACTGGAAAATATCAGAAATTTGTCTCTGGTCTGTGGGTTTTCTTGTTTTTTTCTTTCAGTTCTGTGTTGGATTATTTGCTATTCCCACCACTTAAACTCTATATTGGAACTAATTTGTTGTCCTTTGCTTACTTCTAAAATGGAGGAACTTCCTGTGGGCACCAGCACTTGAGCCCTTCAGTTGAGCTAAATTTCTGCTTTGAAGCTAATTCCCTGGAAAAGGCTTTTTGTGCAGCTCAGGTTTTAATCATTAACCTTGCAAGCACTTCTGGGTCTTGTGAGGTTTGGTACACCTGGGTTGTGAGGAAACTCTGGTCTGGGCCTAAGTCTTTTCAGCAAACTACACCACATGCAATTCTATGTTCCTGACCAGTCTCCACTGAATGGGCCTGTGCTAACTGGAGGGCAGATCAGCTGTCCATGCTGTGCCTCAGTGTTCCCCCAGTGGGCCCATCTCCCCCACCGCCCATGCTCCAAACACTTCCCATGGAGTGAGTCATGCACTGGTCCCTTGTGATGACTCACCAGCCTCTGAGTGGCTCCTTTTTTCAGTTGTCTGTGGCCCCTCGCTTTATGTGGGTCCACAGGAACCCCGTTAGTGGTCCTGCTGGCTTGAGGGCCACCAAGGCCCTCTTCTCCCCTGCTGCCTCTAAGCAACTTCATATGAAGGGCTCAGCAGCAGCTTTTGCCAGCTCTTGCTCCGTGAGCTCACCAGGGCCAGCCTTGAAGCAGCTGGGCTCGAAACGGTCAGAACAGTTCTTTCTTTCTCTCATCGTGGCTTCTCTCCTACCTTCATGCACTCCATATGTCTCTCCTCCTCTTCCTCTGAGCTCTAGTGGCCCCAGCCTGGCAGTCGTTGCTTTTTAATAGTTGTAAATTGACTAGCTGTGGGAGAGGGTAACACTGCGGACCATCTATTCTGCCATCTTGACCAGAAGTTCCTCTAAACTCTTATTAGTTAAAATAGTTTGTCTATGGAGTCTTTTCAGATAATCACATTTTCTACAAATAATAAGAGTTCTAGTTATTCCTTTTCAAAATGGCTTCCCCATATTTATTTCTCTTTTCTTACTGCAGTGTCTGGGGCGCCTCAATAAAAGGATAACTGGCAGTTGTGACAACATGCTTCCTTTCTTCCTAGCTTTAGTGGATTATGTCTAAAATTTCGCCACTAAGTATAATGGCTGCTGTATGACCTTGATATATACCCCTTATGCAGTAGAAGTTTCCTTCTGTGTTGCTTTTTTGGTCTTTTTGTCTTGTTTTATTTCATTTTGGTTTTTAATCAAGAATGGCTGATAATTCTATCAACTTCTTTTTGGGAATCTGAGATGATTATATGATTTTTGTCCTTTCATCTATGAGTTACACTAAAAGAATTTCCAATGTCAAACATTTGTGATAGAGAAGTTACCATTTTACTTATTTTTGTTCTGGGTACTTAATATCAAACCCTTTCCTTATGTAGAAAGAACCTCCCACTGTGAGAGCCTTGGTGGGGGCAGGAACCAGACTCCCTGACACCTGACAGCTAGGCCACGGGCACATGACCTGGTTTCAGCCAAGCAGGTGAAGTAAAGAGGAAGGAAGAGTTTAAAATGCATTCATGGCAGTAGCTCTTAATGGTAGGGGCATATCCAACCATACAGGCATCCAGAGATGGAATCAGCTT